ATACAATAAATAAATTCATGAAATATACATGCAAAAATAAACACAATCATATATGCAAATAGAGCCACCAGGGCTCAGCTTTATTGATAATTGACTATACTGTGATATTAACGACATTACATGCTAAAAATAGCAAATATTGAACTACAGCACTTGTTTTGTTCGATCCACACCCCTTATCAAATCAATATACTGTCTATGCTGTTACATATCCATTAAATTTTATAAAAAATAATCTTACTACTCCTCCATCTTGTATACCATTGGATCCATGCGTTTAATTATCTTCATTTTTTCTTGATTTCCTCCCATCGTGGGATCGACCCAAGCAGACAATAAATGCTTAAGGCTATTTGTGAGATCGTTACTCGTGGCCGATGATGAGGTTGTGGAAACTGGTGTAAACTGCCCCAGACAATTGTAAACGTTCGAAGATAATCCAAACAATCCAAGTGAGATCTGAAAATACTCTCGGAACGCTGTGATTTCGGCACCTGAAACTTCCTTTTCATAATCAATTCTAATCTTCTTGAAAAATTCCTTTCTTGTTTCATTATTATCCGTTTTATAATCTTTTAGTACTTCATTGATTTTACGTTTGCACGAAGTGACTTGACGTGTTTGGCGCGTTTCAACAAACTCTTCCGGAATATCAACAAACTCTGTTGTTGCACCTAATTGCAAATACAACGATAAAAATGGCATATGCGGAAGTTCCTCAATGCCTGTATATGCTGGCGACAGAAAAGCCGTTGCATAAAGTAAGTAGTCATCGCCTTTATTATGCGTGGACCAATTTTTAACTTGTATTAGTATGTATGAAATACGATCTTCGTTAAACTGTTCATAAAGAGTGCCTATATATATAGGTATAATGATATCTACGCCTCGTTGATTTCGTTTCCATGAAAATGCAACACCACGAATTAGAGCATCCCTGAGATTTTTCCTGTTCGGCGTATAAGTAATATTGATAAAGTGTGTAAACTTAATGTAAGCTTCGCCGAACTTCGTTCCCGTAAACATTACTTTCTCTCCAAGGCGATTCTCTATTTTGTTATAAACCTTGTCCGCGAGTAGTGACCGTAAAAATTCATTTAGAGTCACGAAACGAGAATAATCGTTGCCAACATCTGTACCACGTGGGTATTTCTTTTTACTACAATCATCCCAGGCTTTAAGAAGCAATAACCTAGCAGTAAGCTCTCCACGGTAACCGGCCTCTACTACACCTTTCTTAAGCGCTGAAGAGAGCTGATTAATAAGTTCTGTGAAGCAGACATCTGGATCATTCATTATTCGAGCGCTCGCCTCTGCCAGTACAGGTTCACTAGGCATCGATGTAATAATGCATTCACGATCCTCTGAGATATCAAGACAAAGGTGCATATAGCTTGCTATTAAATGAGATGTATATCTAGATTGTGGCACAATGTCAATACATAAACGGGGTCCAAAGATAGCCAAAGTTTCCATAATACTAATTTTGTTTTGGGATTCTTTTTTCCAAAGAATGAAAGACTTCCCACCAATAAGTTTGTCCATGGCCAATTCGATAATACGTTCTGGTTTGAATCCTTTAGCTTCACTAGAAGGTAATAATAGTGCACCCCACAAAGGTCTTCCATACTGAAAGAAATATTGCGGATCTTCAGAATCTTTCAGTGTCGGTACTTGTTTAAAATCAGTGTTCATGTCCACGGTGTCTAACAAATAAAACGGCTCAAATAATCGAGACCCTTCTTCCGCAACTCTTTTGGACGGAT